AAAAAAATCCCCCCTATCCCCCAGGACATGGTTATTAGAATTAGGGTAATTCTCTCTCAGAGCTGCTCAGTCTCATATAAGTAGATGGCTGGCCTGCCCCAATTCTGGAAACAGCCTACTTGGGCCCTGTTTAGGCTCAGAGTTGAACCCTACTATCCCTTTGTTCCTTTGTGACCCCTCTAGAACCCACCAAATAGAAACATATCCAAAGCCAGCCCTGTGCTTTCTTGCAATTCCTTTTTAAATGGGTCTTCCTTTACCTAAACCTCCTCATCATCTCTGCCTCCTAATATCCTATCTAATTGCTCAGGTCCAAGGTCCCTCTTATAGGTCCCTTCATTGACCCCAGAAGTGAACTCTCTCCCCCTGCTCTGAACTCCCAAGTACTAGAAACCACTTTCCCAGCAAAAGTACTGGACATTTGTCTTACATGCCCAATGTTCCTTTCCACTTCCTCCATCTTTTTTCCCCTCCGGCCATGAAATTTGGTGTGGATTTCAATCACAGTGCCCCATTACACTGGGCAAGGGATAACACACACCCAACATTACACTCTAAGGTGGCAGCTTCAATGATTGGCAAGGGGCAGGGACATGGGACCAATTCAGAACAGAGTCTTTCTCTAGGATCTGCAATTATATAGGTATATATAGAAGTGAGGAGACATTCTTTCTTCTCTGAGTCAGACTCTGCTAACATGCATGAAGGCCTAGAAAAAGAAACTAATGTGTTATTAGCCTAGAGATGCTTTGTTTTTGGTGTGTGTGAGAGAATTCAACAATTTTATCCCTCAGTCCACCTACCACATCCTTCCCAGTTGTGTGAGCCCATAAATCCCCTTTTTTGCTTAAGCTGGTGTGAATTGGTTGCTGTTACTTGCTGGGAGTACAGAAGAGCTTGCCCCTTTAGTTGGTGACTGTTTGATTTGGGGCTCCTTTCTTTCCTACTAGATCATGAACTCCTGCCAGCAAAGACTACACCTTGCTTATATTTATATCTCCCCAAAACACAGCAAGATGCAATCACTTATAGATTAGCCCAATATCACATTCTATCAATGAATAACTTTTTACATTATGCCTCAATTGAGAAGCTATGATTAATTTTCTTCTTTTTTTAATATTTATTTTTTTAGTTTTCGGCAGACACAACATCTTTGTTTGTATGAGGTGCTGAGGATCGAACCCGGGCCGCACGCATGCCAGGGGAAGGAGGTTTCTCAAAGAAAGATGACAGGATCGAATGACAAAATCCTTCACAGGTAAGTCCAGTTTAGGCAGCTGTTTTAATTAGACACAATTTTAAGTACTTTCTGTGAACTGTGAATTATGATTGATACAAAGAAGCATAACATGCTTTTCTCTCAAGAATGAGGAAACAAAACTTATACATAGGAAAATAAGTACAATGGACAAATTAAGGCAGCATAATGTTAGCACTGAATTGAAGGTACAGGAGGTGGATGCTATGGTAACAAGCATTTGCTTCCTGGATTCTCTTGGCCATTAACCAACTATACCAAGCATTTCAAGACCTCTATATTTCTTTAGTTTAAAATGCCCTTTCCTCCTATAAAATTCTATTTATCTTGTGAAACAATTCAAAGACCACTTCCCAGCTGGCCCCCACTACAAATTCCATGCTTTTGTCAGACATGGTGGTGCACACCTGTAATCCCAGTGACTTGGGAGGCCGAGGCAGGAGGATCACAAGGTCAAGGCCAGCCTGGGCAACTTAGCAAGACTCTCAGAAACTTAGTGGAACCCTGTCTCAAAATAAAAAATAAAAAAAGGGCTGGGGAATGTGTTTCAGCAGTAAAGCACCCCTGGGTTCAACTTCCAATATCTCCCCCAAAACGAAACAAAAACAAAAACAAAAAATGCTTTCACAGAACTTTCTTTGTGCCTCTATAACATAGCATTTGGTTCATTCTTTTTTATTTCCCATCTTTCCCATTACTCATCAAGAATAGGGATTGTGTAGCTTTTCATTTTCCTTCTCATGCTGTGGTGGTTAATTTTATGTTTCAAATTACCTGTCCTATGGTGCCCAGTTGTTGGACCAAATACCAGTCTAGATGTTGGTGTAGAAGTATTTTTTAGATGTAAGTAAGATTTAAAATTAGTAGGCTTTGAGTAAGGCAAGTACTCTCTACACTGTGTATGGGCCCCATCTAATCAGTTGAAGGCACTAAGAGCAAGCGATGAAGTTTCCAAAGAGGAAGCAGTTTTCCTTAAGACCATAACATCAAAGCCCTACCAAGATTCCTGCCTACTGTCCTAAGGAATTTGGATTCAAGATTGTAATGCAGCATTAACTCTTCACTGAATTTTCCAGCATGCCATCCCCCTACAATCACAGGTCCATTCTTCAAAATTTTTCTCTATTGGTTCTGTTTCTTTGGAAAATTCCAATGCATATGCTTACCTTTAAAAATAAATCTAGGGACTCTGTGTAGCTCAGTGGTAAAGTATGTGCTTAGCATGCACAAGGCACTGGGTTCAATCCCGGCACCAAAAAAATTAAATATATGAATAAAGATAATAATTCTTTTTGGATTTTGCATTTTCTCACATATTTAACGAGGATTTATTGTGTATCTGGCACTGTTTTAGGTCCTTGTGATACAGTATACAAGAGACAAAAAAATCAGCTGCTCGTGGTGGCACATGCCTGTAATTCCACCAACTCTGAAGGTTGAGGCAGGAGGATCACAAGTTCAAGGCCAGTATGGGTAACTCAGAGAGACCTTGTCTAAAAAAAAAAAAAAAAAAAGTAAATTCTTCAATGCCACTCTAGACCTACAGGGTCACAAGTTGCAGTGGTAGAATCCAGAAACGGGGGTCTAGTAAGTCCTCTGGGTGATGCCTGGCATATGCAGAAGTTTGAGAATTAGCCTCAAGCCAATTGTTATAGTTTGGATATTTTTGTTTTTGTAGTGGTAGGGCCTGAACTCAGGGCCCCATACATGTGAGGTAGCTGCTCTACCACTGAGCTATACCCCAAGTGCTATGGTTTAGATGTTGAACAAGCCCCAGTGGTCTAAAAGGCTTGGTACTCAGGGTCATGCTTTTGGGTTTTTAGGAGGTACTATGGACCTTTAAGAGGAAGGGCCTGGTAAGAGGTTCTTAGGTCACTGGGGGTGTGCCCCCACAGGGAATTATGGAACCCTCACCTCTTTCGGCCTTTTCTTGGCCATGTGCTCCCTGACATTGCTCTCTGGCACCCCATTCAAGGCCAAAAGCAATGAGTTCACACAATCTTGGACTGGAACCTCCAAAACTGTGAGCTAAAACAAATCTTTTTTCTTTATGTTAATTATCTTAGGTATTTCATTATAGTGATAGAAACTGACTAATATGCCAATGCTTCTAAAATTTTAATATGTATAAATATCAAGTGAAGGTCTTGTTAAAATGCAGATTCTGATTCAGGTGTTCTGATGCAATAGTTATGTCAGGATTCCCCCTCAGTGCTGAGGCATTCCTTCCCTAGTCTTCTGAGGATATGGGCAGATGGAGATTCTCAGGTGAGTACCTAAGAATTACCTGAAGTTGAAGAGAACTGTCTCACCCAATTCTCAAATGCCCTCAGCTTACAATGAAGCCTTGATTGCTAGTGCAGGATGTTGATCCTTGGCAAGAGGTTGTGTTGTAATTGTTAAAACTTCTAACAGTAGGAGTTATGAATGGAAAACTGGTGGAAGGGGCTGAGTTGCTGGGGCATTTGAGAGTTTCAAGGGAAATTGTAATTATATAAGGGCTTGGGAATTGAATGGCTGTTTCCCTGGCACTTGATGCAATTGAGAAAGACAATGGAAGGCTGAGGGTCATTACTCACCTATTCTAAGAGGCCCTCCTTGGCGGGGTGGGGTAGGGGGGACAGAAGATGCTGAGGAACTGGAGCCAGGACTTAATTATAAAAGTAGCAGAGTTCCAAAGAAAGTTGGATTTTCTATCATGTCATGTTTACCATAGCAATGTTAGGGCCCTGACTGAGAAAAAAAACGGGACCCTGAGATTTGGGATAGGGACATCTAGGTCAATGAACTCAAAATCCTGTGGGTCAATACTATTTTTTTTTTAAGAGAGAGTGAGAGACAGTGAGAGAGAGAGAGAATTTTAATATTTATTTTTTAGTATTTGGCGAACACAACATCTTTGTTTGTATGTGGTGCTGAGGATCGAACCTGAGCCGCACGCATGCCAGACGAGCGCGCTACCGCTTGAGCCACATCCCCAGCCCTCAATACTGTTTTCTAATTCATCTTAAATCCTTGACTCGGAGTAATGTTCATCCAAGGTTCATGTGAAGACTTCAAGATATTTTGCCCCCAAAATCTCTGTCTGGCTTCCCCTGTCACAGCCACTGCCCATCGGGTGACACTGAGTTGACCCACCTCAGATTCTGCTTCTTGTTTCTTTCTTCCTTCCTTATAACTGCCAGGACTGCACAGCTCTTTCTGCTCCTCTCCTGGGTTTTTCCACCCAGCAGTTTCTGAGGGACAGACAAGAAGTCAGAGAAGAGTCCAGCCACCCCAGCACCTTCTTTCTCACACTGACAAAATCACCACTTTGGTCATCGGTAATCTGCTTCTGAGAGAGCAATTTATAAAATCTCCAGTTAAGCCAGAGACTCTTTTCAAAAAGGTCCAACATCGCTGGCAGAATAAATGCTATCTTTGAGCCAAAATCCAATAGTTAAGCCAAAAACAGGATTTCAAAATGGAATTGTATAATGTGTTTTTTGTTGGTTTGTTTTTTTTTTAAATCATAATTCACTAAGAAGAGAACAAAGAAAGACAGGTTTGGGTGTATATTTGATTAAGAGGAAGAACATTTTCAAATATAGTTTGAACATTGAATCAGGTTATTAGAGATTGCCTTCTTTGATGATCTTTAAAAATAGAAGAGACCATCATTCTTCTTCAACGATTTGGCTGCAGACCAGCTTGAAGATCTGAAATAAATGCTCTTCTGAAGTTTCCTCTGGTTTGTCTTATCTACCCTTTCTGACAACACCTGCCTCACTCACTGTCTTTGTCCCAGGTCCTCCAGGCCAGGCAGAGACAGAAGTTGATAGAAAGGTAAATGATGGTGGTGACATTTGGGATTATTTTACCACAGAAATTGAGAAGAAATTATTACAGTGCTCTGTCAGTCCACCAACTGAGCAGTTAACGAAAGCAGGTGGTATAATACAATCCTTCAGTTATTTCTAGAATCTTGATGAATCAGTCAATTCCTTCTTTAAAAAAAAAAAAAAAAAACCCTAACGAAAGCAGGTGGTATAATACAATCCTTCAGTTATTTCTAGAATCTTGATGAATCAGTCAATTCGTTCTTTAAAAAAAAAAAAAAAAAACCCTAAGGAAAATAGTTACTACACCCCTTGAAGAAGTAAAGCTGTGATTCCAATCTGAAGATAATATTGATTGGAATACAACAAAGATGTTCCTTTCTTCCCACTCCTACAGACCTTATTCAAGGTCTAATATGTATGACAAGTGTCATGTCTGTGGTGTATATTTATTGGTGTCTGTGGGGCACGCATAACTGGCATAAATCTTATGATACATATCAATTTTGTTAGAAATTGACTTATTCCATTTTTATTTATTTATTTATTTTTACAATTCAGTGTCTTTTTTTAGTGTCATTCTGCCAAGGATAGATTACTTAATCTTTGTCAGTTTAGGGTTGCCACTGTTCTTTTCCTCTGAGATCTGGGGACTGAACATGGTGCCACATCATTGGGGTGGGGACGGGTAGCGTCTTGTCCTCATTCCTCAGCCTGTGCCAGCTTCTGCCAGATGTACCATATCCTATCCCATTTCCCCCTTCAGTACAGATGGCTGTTTCATTGTCTCTCCTCACAGCAGATTCTCTCTCTCACCCTCTCCCTCGCTCTCTCTGTCTCTGTCTCCCCCCCTTCTCTCTCAGTGACCACTGTACCACTGAGCTAAACTCTGGAGTCTCTCTTGAACATCTCTTTCCCCACTTCCCTGCTTCACCATCCCTGGACTACAGACAACCCGGTGGGGATCCAACCCCACCCCTGGTCTGTGTTACTCTCAGTTGTGTAGAAAGCATTTTACTTCTCCCCATACCACAGTAAGGCCCAAGCAGATGGCTTGAGCTTGCTTCTGTCCTACCTGCAGAGGCAGGCAGCCCAGGTACTTCCTCCTCACCAAGCTATTGTGAGCTGGGATTACATGTGTACACCCTGGTGTTTTGAAAGTTCCCTGGGCTCTCTGCTGGA